AGCCATTCATTTGTCTATGTCAAAGTCTTTCATAATTTTTCCTGCAGTGTGTATATTTCATGTGTGTGAGAGTGAGAATCGCTAGGTTACAAGATGTGTGTAATATTGTTATGCTACATATCGTGAACTCATGTAGTAAGGATTCAGTTTTGTTGGTTTAGGTTGGGTTTGTTTCTTAGAGAGTTCCTGGCTCTGGCTGGCCTTATAGTCCATATATAGTGGAGGGTGACCTTGAACTTGATCTTCCTGCTACCACCTCCCAAGTGCTGGGGTTACAGAAAAGCACCACTAAACCTAGTTTATGAGGATCTGGGGTTCGAACCCAGAACTTTGTGCCACATTTCAGCCTCCCTAAGAGCTGAGCTCTGCTACTGTCCACACAGACTAGTTCAGACCCAACTAATGACCTAACTGACTTATGAATGGTGTTCTGCCTCACATGTGATCAGACTTAAAATGTTTCCCATGTAGGGCACTTGCAAAACATAAAACTAATAAATAATAATAAATTTAAATGCCTTTAATTTTATCAAATATCAGCAAGTTATTAAATCACAAAGTCAGGAATATAGGGTTGAAGAGTTTTGCTGTGGGTAGCTTGGAAGAAAAATATACCATGCCCTAACAAGCTATATCCAGTTTGCCCTGGAGGAAATCATAACAATTTCTTGTTTAAAACTTAAAAGCAAGGCATGATGGTGCACACCTATATTCCAGCACTTGAGAGGCTGAGGGAAGATAGACAGTTTAAAACCTCCTAGACTGTATAGTAAGACCTTGCCTAAAAGAAGCACACACACACATACACACACACTCACACATGGCATGCACATATTGGTGGTAGAAAGGGAGGGGGTTTAGAGACTCAATTATAAAACCTACACATTAAAGAAGTTCGCTTGATGAGTGTTCTTCAATTAATGTATTAACAGGGATTACAGTGTATTGAGCACTGGGTTGCAGACCAGCACACAGCCATATGCTGTTTGCAAGATGCACATCTGAAATGATGCAGGATGAGAGGGAAACAGTAAGGAAACCATGACAACAGCTGATAGAGTAGTATGGGAGGCAAACCATTCGTTTTCATTAGAGCAAAAACGCCTCTATGGATAAGGAGAAAGCCCTCATGAAGACAGAGCATTCTGGAACATCTGGATGACTTCACATCAGCACACTGGAAGAAACCCCGTTCACGCCATATGCTCTGGAGAACTGATGGGGACACAGGAGGCACGACAGGCTTTAGCTCAGTTTTCTCAGTTTCACAGCTGATGTCAAAACAGTACTTCAATAGACGTTGAGAGGGTTTGTTTTGTTTTTATGTGACCGAATGAACATTATTTCAATGACTTTTTCCCCCAGTGCTAGGAATTGAACCCTGGGCCTCCTGCATGCAGGGCAAGCACTCTACTCCCCAGAGCTACACTCTCTACCCTCAGTCCACATTATTACGTGAAAATTTTGCAAGTTGTGGTCCTAGGTGGTTCTATACTAAATAAAGAATCAAAAATAACCTGTGACACTTGCGGTGAGTAGTTAGGGACAGGCAGTCAGAGTTCACTAAGGACCAGGGAAGCTGCTGGATTGAATTTTTAATGGAGGAACTGCTTCTTCTAATGCCCTTTTGGGCCTCCACAGGCACTGACACACATGAGACACAAACATACATGAAGACAGTACACCTGTACACATAATAGTATAAAATCTCACAATAATAACAATAGGTAAAAGGCCCTTCCCTTCAGGCCTGACAACCCAGCACCAGAGTTGTCCTCTGACCTCTGTAGACACAAACACACACACACACACACACACACACACACACATACACACACACGTTTAAAAAAAATGATGGTTTTGTTGTGGAAAACAAAGATTTAGTATTTTCCTACCATCTTCCTTAGCATTTAAGTGTTAAATTAGTAAACCTTTGGATTCTACTTTTGTAGAATGTTTGTTTTTTGTTTTTAATTGCTATTTGGGTTGCTGATGTGTTTTTATAAGAAGTTCTTTGGTGAATTTTGGCATAGGGTTAGGGCAGGATCTCCAACTGTGTCTGACATGGTGCTAAACACACTTTGCCCATTGTGTGCTACGTATTTATGCAAAGTAGTTTCAGCACCTGTGATTATAAAATACTGATCAACTCTGAAAAATGTTGAAGATGTACTCCAGCCTGTCGTACCAGAGGTCAGCCAAGATTTAATTCTTCATGTAAAGTAAATAAACACATTCATCTTGTTAGTATGTAGATTTGCCTCCATCTTTCTTATGTACCAAAGACTTGTTTTTAAATAAACCCCTTCACAACTTATCATCAGTTAAGTGTTGGACTTGTATGCCTGTTTTATTCTGTTGTAGACCCAGGGTCATGTAAAGGTTTCTTGGATGATAAAGGGGCAAATGTGGAGAGAAAAAAAAAACTTTTAAAATTTCTGACCTAGACATGCTCATGGACGATTAGAGACCCAAAATTAAGAACTGAGTATTAACAATACAATTGATGATAGTCAATAGATGGTGCTCTACACCTTCATGACCACAGCCCACCATCTGCCTGGAAGTACTTTGAAACAGGTAAAGAATTAATTACATTTGGTTTTCAAAGAAAACCTTAACAAATTCTCAGAATTACAAATGGCCACTGTACATTCATCACTTTGGTGACTAGAATTCAAGACAAAGCAATGGAGAAGCAAAATTAAGCCACTGAGAAGTTGCTGGAGTCTTCTTTAAAACTCTAAGGTCAAAGGAAAAATAAAGAATGAAATGCCTATATATAAAAGAGATAAACAACAAAAGTCTTACACAATATTCTTTGGGGCTAGAGAGATGACTCAACAGTTGAGAGCACTTATTGTTCTTGCAGGGGACCCGAGTTCAGGTCCCAGTACTCACATGGCAGCTCATAGCCATCCACAACTCCAGTTCCGGGGAATCCGACACCTTCTTTCAGTCTCCAAGGGCACCAGGCAGACAAGTGGTCTACAGACATGCATACAGTCAAAACACCCATGCACATAAAATAGAGCAAAGGTAAAAATTCTCACACAGTAAAGTCTATGCAAAACACTTGCAGACAGTCTTCGCACTAAAATGTTATTCTTAATTGTAGGGAAAGTGCATGTCAAGGCGCTCATGCGTAGTGGGCATGTGGGAGCCAGAGGCCAGGGTTCTCCCCTACTGCTCTCAGGGTTTCATTCTTTTTTCCATTTGTGTGTGTGCGTGTGTGTGTGTGTGTGTTTACATGTATGTGGGCACTTATGTGTGACTGTGTGTGTGCATGAGTGTTCATGTGGAAGTCTGAATTTGATGGCAGGAATTATCCTCCGTTGTCCTTCTGCCTTATTCATTGAAGAAAGGTCTCTCAGTCACAACCAGAGCTCAGTGACATGGTTAATATTGCTAGCCAGCTTGCTCTGAAGATTCGGTCTCTGCCTTCAAGGCTGGAATTACAGCTGAGCCGCCATGTCCACTTGTCATTTACATGTGGTCTTCACCCTCAAGCTTAACCACCAAGCCATCTCCCTAGCCCTGCTCTCATTTTCAAGGTGGGGGTCTCCCCATCTTAAACCCGGCCCTTGCAGTTCTAGCCAAGACCCCAGGATCAATCCAACTGTGTCCACTTCATCCCTCCCCCAAACCTTTCCCTCACCCCAACTCCCAGCCCTGATGCCAGAGTCACAGAGGAACACCTAGATGCTCCCTTTTTGCATGCATGCTAAGGATCTGAACAGGGATCCTAATGCTCACACAGCATGCACTTTACCCAGTGAGAAGTTTCTCTAGCCCCTGAACACTATTAACAATAAAACAAAGGGAAATAAATGAATTTTGAAATATAATTCAAAATTGTGGAGGGGGGATTCAACAATAATCTTTATAAGCCAAAAGGAGAGGTTACTAAAGAAAAAATTAGGTATCAAATGGTTAGATGTCAGAGAAGGAGGAGGGATCAATTTGAGATCTTGTTTGTTTGTGGCGGGATCTCAGGATGTAATTCAGGCCATACTGGGATTGCAAGCATGTGCCACCATGCCTATAGAGATCTGATTCTTTTTGTTGTTATTGTTGTTTTCTGCACAGGGTTTCTCTCTGTAGCCCTGGCTGTCCTGGAGCTCACTCTGTAAATCAGGTTGACCTTGAACTCACAGAGATCCCCCTGCCTCTGCCTCCTAAGTGCTGGGATTAAGGCATGCACCACCAGGCCCACCCCACCCTCATCCCAGGTGGGGATTAAAGGACTGTACCACCACCGCTCAGCGAGATCTGATTCTTTTAAAGAGACGTTTTGAAGCCTTGCATAAAATAGAAAGCCTATTCACTTGATTAATGAGGAGAAAGTTGAGAACATGTGGGCACTTGACGTTAGACATCAGACAGAGGAAATAACAAAAGTAATTCTATGGATGTTTGTGTAAGCCCAAATGAACCATGCAGTTATACTGTGTTTGTTTGGGCCAAGAGCACACACTATTCTAAATTCTGCAAAGTAGTCGGAGTACACATCTTACAGATGAAGAAGCTGAGACGCAGTGAGGTGAAACTTGGTCAGTGTCACCCTCTGACAAGGGCCTGGGCCAGGGTTCAGAAGTGTGCTTCCAGCATCTGCACTCTTGGCTGCTCATTGTCACACAGCAAACAAGGCAGAGCCTCGTTCCACATGGAGCTGGTATCATGACATGATCCATTCACAGCTGGACCGAGTTCCCATAGGGGCGGCATGCTGACCATCTGCCCAGGGCAGATGCCAACAGAGTGGCAAAGTGCCAAGGGACCCTGGGGACTTTGCAGGTGCTCCGCGCCATGCAGAGGTCAGGGGAGAATGGACCGCCACCTTCAGATTCTCCTACAGGGATCCCTGTGGGAAGCACGGCCCATCATGGAAACAGCCACTTGCCACCTCTCACCCACAAGTCCCTCCTCTGAGACTGAGAGGCAGGTGCGGTGATTGGCAAGGCAGAGCCTTCTAACACAATCACACTGTCTTCTCTCAGATCCAGGAGATGGTCCACTCGGAGGTAGCTGCCTATGACTCAGGCCGGCCAGGACCCCTGCTGGGCCGCCCAGCGATGCTGGCAAGCCACATGAGTGCCCTCAGCCAGTCCCAGCTCATCTCTCAGATGGGCATCCGCAGTGGCATCGCCCACAGCTCCCCATCACCCCCAGGGAGCAAGTCAGCGACCCCCTCTCCATCCAGTTCTACACAGGAGGAGGAGTCAGATGCCCATTTCAAGGTGTGTGGTGTGGAAAGGTATAGCTACCAAGTACCTCCCCAGTGGAGAAAGGGTTCTGCCAGGTCATGGTATCATGTCCCTGTGGAAAAGACAGGAGCCTTAGTCTTGTGGAGACCAAGAGTCAGCACATGGGTCTCTGGTCAGAGGAATGGCACCTGGGCCCCAGGGAAACCAGGCTGTGGCTGCCGACTCTACAGGGGACCCTCCCCTCCAGGCACATGCTGGCCCTGAAGAGGCCCGGAGCCCAGGCACAGCGTCCATGACAGGAGGCCCTGAACTGACCAGGCTTCTGTGTGCGTCTCCTCTTCCTGGTCCAGCATCATTCTCAGGATAGCTTGTCACAGACCATGTGGGGATGGTTTCCTTCTCCCTCACCTTTTCCTCCCCCCTCCTTTTCCCCCCACCAACTCATTTTGCCTTCCTTTGTTTCTACACATTCCTAGGGACTTGACCTAAATCCTTGCCTGTGCTAAGCAAGTGCTTTCTTGCCAGGCTACTGCGGCTTCTGTTTTGTTGTTTTAGTTAACAAACACTTCTAGGTCTGGATATACAGCTCAATTGGTAGAGTGTTTGCCTAGCATGCAGCAAGCTCTGGATTCAATCCCCACACCACATAAACTAGATGTGAGACAAAAGTCTATAACCCACAGATCAGACACTTCTACAAGTACACAATAAACCCTCATTCCTGTGTTCCTCACAACAGCTCTCCATGGTAGGTAATATTCACTATCTCCTTTTTGCAGATAGGGAAACTGAGGCATGGAGTAGTTAATTAACCTATCAGTGCTTTACAGCCAGAATTCATACCCAGATAGCTGTCACCCTTAATGACTGCCATGTCATCAACCAAGCAACCTGCCTTTAGAACTGGGGCGACAGGAAAGTGCTTGCTGTGGAAGCATGAGGACCTGAGTCCTAGCACTGGGGAGGCAGAGACAGCAGGATCTCTGGGGCTTGCTGGTCAGCCAGCCTAGCTGAATGGGACACTCCAGGCCAGTGGGAGACCTTGTCTCAAAAAAAAAAATTAAAAAAAAGGAGGAAGAGGAGAAGGAGGAGGAGAGGGAGAAGGAGGAGGAGGAGATGGAGAAGGAGGAAGAGGAGATGGAGAAGAAGGGGGAGGAGAAGAAGGAGGAGGAGATGGAGAAGAAGGGGGAGGAGAAGGAGATGGACTAGGAGAAGGAGGAGGAGAAAGAGGAGGAGATGGAGAAGGAAGAGGAAGAAGAGGAGGAAGAGGAGAAAGATGTACCTTAGTAACCACACTTGAGATGGGCTGTTGTCTTCCATACCACCCATGAGCATGCACATGCATGTGCACTCACACACACATATAAACACACACACACACACACACACACACACACACACAAAGAGACCTGTTTTCAGTCCTCATCTTGCCAAGGTTTCACTAAGGGCTGATGGGATAAAAGCCTAGAGAGTTCCCCAGGGACACTTGGAACAGAGCCAGCATGCCTCAGACCCTGCCAGATTCCCCACCTCTCAGACATGAGGTCTGAGTCTATCCACCCCACCTGCCTGGAACTTGCCATCTGTTGAGTATGCTGCCTTCATCTTGTTGGTATTCAGAAGCACAGACCTCACTGTAGGATCCAGGCCTAGGTTCAAAGGCCTAAGAGTCCCCACAGAGAACAACAGGGGTTTGTGAAAAGCATCCCAACACCTCCTCATTCTGGAAATGCTAAGTCCTGTGTGCTTGAGACCATGGCCTAGAACCTTTCAGGTGGGTCCTCTTACTGGGTGACAGCTATGTTACCCTCGCCCCTTGCCAACACCAGAGAGTCCCAGGAAGAAACCATCATCCAGAGTCGCAGCTGAAGTGCAGTGAAGGTGGCCTACCCTTTATAATCAGAGGCATTAGTTGGGTATTATTTATGATCATGATGGGGAGGGGCAGAATAGTTGAAAAACAAACAAACAAACATGGAGTTAGACCCTGTAAACAGGTCCCCAACAGCTGGACCTTCTTATTCTTGCAGATGCAAAGGGTCTAATAGGTCCATGTAAGACCAGTTCATTGTCTAGGAGAATGGACCCTTGGTTTCTTATTTCCATTTTGTGAGGCAGGGTTTCCTTATGCTGCCCATACTGGCCTTACTTTCTCAATCCCCCTGCCTCAGCCTCCTGAGTACAAGGCTTACAGGCATGCACTACCATGCCTGACTTTAGGCCTCTGTCATTACTCAGTATTGGTCAGGAGACTTTGAAAGTCTGCAAAGATAGATGTTAACATGGCAGGGAATAAAGTGCTAGAAAAAAACAGAAAAGGGTCTTGTTTAAATTTGGAAGTGATATAAACACAAATGGTTTGTGTCCCTGGGGAAGGATACAAAATCCCAGAGTGCTAATGCTATTGCTGTTTAGGCACTGGCCAGCCTCACTGGCACATTAGTGTTCTTGGCCCGACAGTCTTCAGGGACTTTCAATGGACACACATGTTGGTTCTTTCTAAACAGTCAAACCTGAACCTCAGGCTGCTACCCAGGATGCATGGGCAACTGTCTTTCTGTCTCTAGATGCCTCTGGGTGACTCTGCCTGAGATTTGTATCTCTATGTGTAGGTGTGCGTTGTTCTGTTTCTGTTTCCCTGTATCTGTACATCGATGTGTGTGAATATGTCTATTTCCATCTGTATGTATGTATTATGTATGTTTGTATGTATGTATGTATGAATATGTATACATACATACATACATGTATGTATGAATATGTCTATCTGTTATCTGGACCATGTGTTCATGTATACCAACCTGTATATATGTGTTTGCTGCCGTGCTCCTTCAAATGCATGACAGTATAGGCCAAGCTGTCTGGATGTGAACCACTGGAGGGGCAGCCCTTTCTCTGCCTAGGAGAGAACATGGTTGGATGGGTCTGGGGTAAGCTACTGAGAAAGCCTAGCTTGGCCCAAGGTTAGCTAGAGCCACTTGGGCTAGGAGTCCCTTGACTTCTTTAGTTTACTGACTCCTCTCATCTGGCAGATCTCGGGAGAGAAGAGACCCTCAGCAGACCCAGGCAAAAAGACCAAGAACCCAAAGAAGAAGAAGAAGAAGGACCCCAATGAGCCACAGAAGCCTGTGTCGGCCTATGCTCTCTTCTTCAGAGACACTCAGGCTGCCATCAAGGGGCAGAATCCCAGTGCCACCTTTGGGGATGTGTCCAAAATAGTGGCCTCTATGTGGGACAGCCTAGGAGAAGAGCAGAAACAGGTAAGCCTTGGTCCCCGAGACTTTGGACCCTGGAACCAAGAGTGTGATGCCAGGCTTGGCCTCTGGGACTAGAGGCTCCTACAGGGGACTTTTCTGCTTTGCTTGCCCATCTGTAAACTGGGAAGCAGGGTTCCCTCATCCCTGGTGATCCCCAGTGCTGTGCACTATTGCCTTCGCTGGGCCCTTGCTTCCCCATCCATAAACCAGGGAGCATCTCCATCCCCTTCTAGCAGTCCCCTTCATTGGGATCTTTCTGCTCCATTGGCCATGGGTCTCACTGAAGGCCTCCAGGTGGAAGGGTGCAGAGCCAGGTCATGCAGTTGGAAATGCATTACCTCAGACTAACTACCTAACCTCTTTGAACCCAGGCTTCCCTACCTATTGACTACCATGCTTGGAGCATGCCTAGGCTAAGCACCATGGGGATCCCCCCTCCATCGCCTCATTGCATCTTTACAACACCCCAGGGAGTCACCATCCATTGGCTCTTTGGAAAGTGGAGGGTGTGGTGAGGACCTCTTAGCATCCTGTCTTGCACAGCGAGGACTCCTTAGGATGCTGTCCACAGGCGTGTGGTATGCACAGAACAGTAACAAGCTAGGGGCAGGGACATGGATCACAGATGAGTTGGGTGTATCCTTTATCCTATTTGACAATGTTGAGATTTTTGTGGAATAGTCTAGGGCTGGTAGTTTAGGAAATAGTCTAAGACCTGCTGGAAAGAAACAGAGATAAGAGACAGGGGAAGGCATAGGACATTGTCAGAGAATTCAGTGTGGGCAAGAGGAGCTCTGGAGCCAACCCTTGTCTTTGTTAACCCACCTGAGCTACAAGGGTGCTGGATGAATCCTGGCTTTGTTAGCCATTGACTGAGAGCTGCTCCAGGGGAGCATAATCCTCTCACATTTCTGGTCTCACTCATGTGACAGGTCTGGGTCTTGCTCCTAGGAAGTGGTCTGTGATGGGGACTTTGCTCTTGACCTTGGATGCTGTGTGTGCTGCTGTGCAGCGGGGGCAAACCAGGGAGGCTGACAGCCTCCACTCAAAGACCCTTGTCATTTTCTCACATTGTGGGTTGTGCTGGGCTCAGCAGGTGGTTCCTCAGCTACCCTTGATGAGAGCTGCAATCAGCTGCAACACACGACAGCTCTTCTTCAAGAAGGTAGATGGCTGGATCTTGCATGTTTCATGGTCCCACAGGCTAGCCATGTGTCTTAGTCACTTTTCTATTGCTGTGAAGAGACACCACGGGCCAAGCAACTCTTATAAAAGAAAGCATTTAAATGAGGGCTTGCTTACAGTTTCAGAAGCTTAGCCCACTATCACCATGCCAGAGAGCATGGTGGCAGGTAGGCGTGGTGCTGGAAAAGTAACGGAGTGACATCCTGATCTGCAAGCACAGAGAGAGGGGAGAGAGAGGGGGGGGAGAGAGGGAGGGACAGAGAGAGGGAGAGAGAGGGAGAACAGATGGACAGACAGAGAGAAGTAGAGAGACAGAGACATAGAGATATTTCCAGGGCCTTTCATGGGCTTTTCAAACTTCAAAGCCCACCCCTAGTGACACACTTCCTCCAATAATGCCACACCTCCTGATCCTTCTCAAATAGCGCCATTCCCTGGTGACTATGCATTCAAGTATATGAGCCTTTGGGGGCCCATTTTATCCAAACCACCCTGCCAGGCTTGTTCCCAGAGCAGTTAAGGGTCATCTAAGAGTCTAAGTACTTTTCAAGTTTTCTGCATTAGTTTATTCTTATGCCACTGACCAAATCAAGTCATTGTGAAAGAGTTCTACTTAAAAGGCAGGGACAGAGTGCATGTGAGACACACTAGGGCCACTCCTATAGTAACGTGTAAACCAAGGTCTAATGTTAATGGTAGCAATCAAAGTAAATATGAGTAAGAGAATGCGTGTCATTATACAAAGCGCGCCATTAGGATGTTGGTGTTATGCTGGATCAAAAGAGAGGCTTCTGGATAACCTGTCTTTCTGTAGTCACTTGTGCCAACCTCATGGTTGAGGAACTGGCGTGTAGCCTGGCCTCTATACTCCTGCTGTTATACTCTCAACAGAAAGGGGCCAGTGGGTGAGTGACCCAGCTCCTGACCCCCCAACCTTCACCCATGCCTGGCCCTGGAATCCCCACTTGTCACCCCAGCCTCTGCACTGAGGCTCCTCTGTGACGTTTTCTCCAGAGTTGCCCATGTCTCGGATCTTTCAGGCATATAAGAGGAAGACTGAAGCTGCCAAGAAGGAGTACCTGAAAGCCTTGGCGGCCTACAGAGCTAGCCTCGTCTCCAAGGTAACGTAATCCCTCGGCGATGTCCTGATGGCTGGCACCACTGGAGGGACAGAACAAAGGCTGGGGCTCCTGGGAACAGCAGGTACCACAGACCTCAGAGAGGATGAGTGGCACCTGTGTGTCACAACTTGGGAGCCAGTATGGCAGCCTTCATGTGACCCTCATTTCATTGACTTTCTTCAGTGAGAGGGCTAGCCCTCAGAGGGCTCAGCAGTGAGCCTTGGATTGGCCATTTGAGTGGCTGCTGTAGGTCCAGATTTGCTGTCTTAACTGCTGACCCTGCACTGTGCCTCTCTATCCACACCAGGGACGAGGTGTGGGTCTGGGACCCAAAAGGAGGCAGAGTATTGTCCTGGAGGCTGTCTCAAAGAAATTGACATCTGGGTTGGGCGGCAAGGGGCCAAACAAAAGGTGCTTACAACGTTGAGATAACCGCATAGGAAAGGTGGGAGGTTGCATAAGCTGTGGTTCATTGCTGGCATTAATCTCACTGCCAGGGTGAGAATAGAATAGCGGGCCATATTGGCAGGGGAGCCCACCTGAGGGTAAAGGTAGGGATGCCTGACTTATCAAAGCCATGTACTCCAAGGCCCCTGTGTAGTTGTGGCTTATTAGTTCATACCCTACCCCTTAGCACAGCATAGAGCCATCCAGAAGCCTTGCAGGCTGCTGACCTACCTGGCCGACAGTCCAGGCTCTGCCTTAATCCCTGGTTTATTCCTGGCTTCCATGTTCCTCCAGAGCCCTCCGGACCAAGGCGAGGCCAAGAATGCTCAGGCAAACCCACCAGCTAAAATGCTCCCACCCAAGCAGCCCATGTATGCCATGCCCGGCCTGGCTTCCTTCCTGACGCCCTCCGACCTACAGGCCTTCCGCACTGGAGCGTCTCCTGCCAGCCTTGCCAGGACGCTGGGCTCCAAGGCCCTGCTGCCAGGCCTCAGCACATCCCCACCACCACCTTCCTTCCCTCTTAGCCCCTCACTGCACCAGCAGCTGCCACTGCCCCCCCATGCACAGGGCACCCTCCTCAGCCCACCTCTCAGCATGTCCCCAGCCCCTCAGCCTCCTGTCCTGCCTGCTTCCATGGCACTCCAGGTGCAGCTGGCGATGAGCCCCTCGCCTCCAGGGCCACAGGTAAGCAGGACCAAGCAACAGCCCCCTGTGACTCACCAAGAGGGAAAGCGGCTGGAGGTGCATATACTCGCCGGGCCACTCGCCAACTGTGTAACCTCAGCCGTGGCTCTGTAACTCTCTGGGCCTCAGTTTCCAGTTCTTTGAAATGGGTCCAGAACACCTGCCCTGAGAGACACTGGCTACCTCAGGCAGTTGACTAGTTGCCAGCTAAGCTTTGTTCCAGAGCCTTCTCTTAGACCATTATGACCTCTGCCAGATTGTTCCAGCTCCTTGCAATCTCCAAAGCCCCAGCTTCCAATGATGGTCCCACAAATGGTTCCAAGACATGCATGCAGCACAGTAACCCCATTTTACAGATTGGAAAACTGAAGCCTAGTAAAGGAAAAAAAGAAAAAACAAAAGCAAAGTCACCCCCTTCCCTGACTCAGAAGAGACAGGGGTTGGAATTTCTTTTTCACCTTATGTTTCCTGTTTTTCTTTGTCTTGCTGGGGATGGAAGCCAGAGCCTCACACAAACCACGCAGGTAGCCCATCACTGAGCCACACAGTAGCTCAGATGAATTTTCCCAAAGATCTTCCACCAGGGAGAAGGGGGAAGAGGCCGAGTGGCCATTCTGTGTGGACCCAGAACATGTCTCTGGAGTGTAGACATCCTCAAACACACAAAGATAATGCCAGCTGCTGGAAAAGCCTCTTTTTCTCTCTCCTCTGCTCACCGCCCGTCCTTCTCCTGTAGGACTTCCCACACATCTCCGAGTTCCCCAGTGGCTCAGGCTCCCGCTCACCTGGCCCATCCAACCCTTCCAGCAGCGGTGGGGACTGGGATGGGAGTTACCCCAGCGGGGAGCGCGGCCTCGGCACCTGCAGGTCAGTCGTCCCCAAACCCCCTTCCCTCTCCATTCCCTATAAGGGGCAGAGGAGGACAGGGAGACACTGGGGGGACCATGGTGGACAGGGAAAACAGGGAGCAAAGCCCAGCAGGGGGCGCAGCTGACTGCCTACCCAGGCCATTTGGGAAACTTGAGGCTGGCCTTGGCGCATGCCTTTTCTCCTTTCGTCCCACATTTCCACAAATAGAGTGAGGTATGAATATTTAGAGGACAGTGGCATCTCCATCACCAGGCAGTGTGTCCCCCATCCCTGGCCACCAGCCTTTCAGCATGGGCTCTTCGCTTTGCTCAGTCCGCTGGTGCTCCAGCATTTCATGAACCCTGACCTTCCAGGGAAAGCCCTTGTTGGTGTTCAGACCAGGGTGGGCAGGGATTTCCTCCATGGCCCAAGCAGGCACAGACTCTCCTCCAACCCTTTCCCTCCCAGTTTCCCTTCCCAAAAGTCAGGGCCAAGGAGTAAGTACTTGGTATCTGAGCTTCCTAAGGCTATTCCCTTCTCCTCTAAGTGAGAATGTTTGATCCACACAGCCTATTCTAGTCTTTCTTGCTAAATGTGGAGTCTTTCTATGTAGCCCAGGCTAGCTTTGAACTCATGAGTCTCCGGCCTCACCCTCCCACAGGTGCAGGCCACCATACTTGGCTCACTCTGTGCCATATTCTAAAGACAGAAAGGTGTCTGCCTTCCTGTAGTTCTGTTTGAAATGTACAAATGATGCTGTTGTGATTAACAGCAGACATGGCGCGGGGGAGGGGGTGGTGGTACTTGAGGCCTATCTCAGTAGGGAGAGTGTTTGCCTAGAATGTGTGAAACCCTGGATTGGATTCCCCAGCACTGCTTAAACCTGGAGTCCCCGGCCTCAGTGGAGGTTGAGATAGAAGCCTCAGAATCAAAAGTTCTAGGTCAACTATATCTCAAGGTCATGGGCAGCCTGGGATATATAAGATCCTGTCTCAAAAGACAAACACAGCAGACACGAAGCAAAGTAAACAAACAAACTAGAAGGTCCCTGGTAGAATGCCAGGAGAGGTGCTTTGTTGTGCTTGATAGGCAGCCCCTCCTTCAACCTTAGGGATAGCAGATCAGAGTGAGGGACACAGGGCCAGGGCACCAGGGTGGGCTCCTGTAGCTGACAGCCCCCTACTCTCTCCTGCAGCCTGCTCCCCAGGGATAAATCGCTCTACCTCACCTAATCCCGCCTCCCCTCCCTCCCTGAGGCTCTCCGGAGGGCACTGCTCCGAGCCGGAAGGGCTGACCACAGGAGAGAGGCCATGGCAGCAGGCAGGGTGACCGGCCAGCAGTGATACACCTATGCCCCAAGGCTGAGTCTCTCCCTCGACCTCCCACCAGACTCTGCAGAGGCAGCCCACCGCCCACCACCAGCCCAAAGAACCTGCAGGAACCTTCTGCCCGCTGACCTGCTTGCTCCAGGGTAGCTGTGGACCCCACTCCTTGGCCTGCACACAGTCCCCTGCGTCTGGACTTCTGGCCCCAGCCCAAGCTCACCGGGCTGCCCCCCCTCGAGGTTGCTTTAGCAACAGACACCCACCCCAGATGCTGAGCCAGCCACAGGTGTGCTCTCGGTGGTGTACACAAAAGATCCTGAAACCCGTGCGCTGTGGGTTCCGTGTAAGTAGTTCACTGTTTTAGAACCGTGCTGAAGACATCTGTAAGATTATTTTGTGGGGAGAAAGAAAGTTTCCTTTAAGGTTAAAAAAAAAAAAAAGAAAGAAAAAAAGAAAAAGAAAAAAGAGAGAAGAAAAGAAAGAAAGAAAGAAAGAAAGGAAAAGAAAACAACATTTTATAAGACCTTTAGCACATTTGTTTTAAATTTTATCTTAAGGGAGACGTGTGCACAAACAGCTGTCAAACCGATTCTATCTGCACAGAGAAAATGGGAGCTTTGAAGCCACACCCAGGGACCCCCCCCTCCTCCTCCTCTTCCTTCCCCCTCCTCCTCTTCTTCTTCGTGTTTTTTCTTCCTCCTCCTCCCTTCTTCCTTTTGTCTTTCTTTTCTTTTCTTTCTTTCTTTCTTTCTTTCTTTTTTTTTTTTGTCATATAAGCATCTATTTAAAATGCCAGCAACAATTTGGGTCATCTATTTATGAAGAAAAGTAGAGGAACAGTGTGGTTTCTCCTAACATGTGTGTGGTTTGAGCTTTGGGTTTGGTTTAGGCTTTGGTTCATGTTGTTCGCAGCTGTCCCCTGGCCCTTGCAAATGTCTGTCCTGGTGCCCTATGCTTCGCTCAGACCTCTTTGTAATAAAACTTCTGAAAAGTGGCAAGCAATCCTGTGTCGTCCAGAGCTTTTTCACCCAGGCCTGGTTACCCTATTCCCAAAACCAGATAAAGGAATGCTACGCTAATGTCCCCGATGACATAAATAAAAACTTGCAATACAGTTTTGTCAAATAGAATTGAAGGCAGGCAGGATGGCTCTGCTGGTAAAGGTGACAATCTGAGTTTGAGCCCCGAGACCCATGCGGTGGACAGAAGGGACCGATTTCTGGAAGTTGTCCTCTGACCTCTACACACAAATAAATAATGTAACTGTAACTGATTAAGGAGATCTAAGAATACATTAAGAGGATCATATATCATGACCAAATTGCATTCATTCCATGGCTGCAAGATTGGCCCGAGTCAGGCCCGGACTCCTGAAGTGGCACGTGGTGGTGGCTTCACTAGATTCAAGTTTCTTCTGAGGGCAGACTAGGAGCAGAGTCCTCCTGCCACTTATAATGTGGTAAATAAGAATCTGGGAAACGAATGGGCGTGGTCAGTGCAACAGGTGCGGGGTGGACATCTCACCACAGCCACTCACCAGCATGGGGGCCTGTGATGGGCAAAACACACCCCTGACCTCAGCTATGGTGAAGACAGAAGGAGACACAGAACTCTCTCAGTTTTGTGGCACAGAGTAACTGCTCAGTGAATCTGTGTTGCAGGGGTGGAGGCTATCATACCCAGTGCGTGAAGGTATATGAGAGTCAACCTTGGGCTTCCTACGTGGGACTTAGCTCTCCAGCCACCGAAAAGCATTGCTAACATCCCAGTCAGTACATCCTGGAAAACGCTGGTGTTTTCAATATGCACAGTCAGACTTTGTATGATTTCCCTGTGGGGCTGGGATATGTCTCTCTGTTTGCCTAGCATACCAGACACCCAGGTTCCATTCTCATACCACATAAAGGGAAATATTAATGTGAAATAGAGCTGGGGAAAGAGTAACGGGACAGCGCCACTGGCTCCTGGCGGTGATGAGCGGGGCTCTGGGCAGTGGAGTTCTATCCTCAGAAACATGTGTCAGCTAGTGACAGTGCGAGCCCAAGGCACAGGAGGCTTTTCTTCAAACCTTCCTTCAGGAAACATCCTGGACCCAAGACTCCTTAACCCAGGCTCCCCAGCAGCTCTTAGGTGGCGACACGTTAAGGTAATAATTGTCACAAGTTGAACTCTATGGGAAGAATGGGAAGGGTCGGGAGGCTGCTGTCACACCCTGTGACACAGCTCTTGGTTTGGTTTCCCGGTGTTTGACCCAGCTCTTTGAGATAGGGGCAGGTGTCATGCTGCAGACAGAGGAGCCCTGCATTTCCAGCACCTCAGAACCTCTCATTGTCCCTGTGGGCCACACCCCTCATCCAGAGGATGCCTAGATGTAGGTTCAGGGTTGCTGAGAGCAGTTTTCTCTCAAGGGCATGTTGTAATAATCCTCCTGGGAAAGAGACAGAAGAAAGCCCCAAGCAAAGTCAATCACCACAGTTGCATCAGCGCCGCCCAGCAACGTTGATCACAAGCCTTCGATGAAGCTATAATGTCCTTTCTGTGTGGAACTCGTTGGTGCCATAGTGATGGCTTTCACAGTTGAATATCCAGCTCTTGCTATTACAAGGCCATACTAGAAGAACAAAGACAGTCCCAAATCGGTGGGACCTGAGGCCAAGAGAGTCCAGCAGGGTGTGCCCCCATCTTCATTGGTGTGCAAACTATTGGGGTCATTTGCAAGCAATTTGCATGCCTGGGCTGGCCTCTTGGGTGCTGAAGTCAATGCCAACTGTCTTCTTCCATTTGAGCCACCATAACAGAGCACGTAGGTGGGCCCACCACCACCAGAGACATCTTTGCTCACAGCTCTGGAGGCTGGTAAGGCCAAGATGCTTGTGAGGGCCAAGTTCCCAGTCATAGACACCTGCCTTGTGCCTTCACATGGCAGAGGTCCAGGCAACTGTTTGGGGCCTATTAGGGCACAAATCCCAATAATGAGGGCCCTATCTCTAGACTTAATGGTTTTCCACAACCCCCACCTCCACATTCTATGACACTGAGAGCTAAGGTTCCAACATACTACTCTGAGGGGCAGAGAGGTGAGGGGCAGACATGCAGCGTGTAGCACCAGACATAGCGGTGTTGTCTATGTCTCCCAGGTCTCCCTTATTGGCAACTGTTCCCCCTCATAGTGACACCTTTGTCCCAGAAGGGGACAAGCAGCCCCTGGAGCTGCCCACAGCTAACAGTCTCAGCAATAGGAAGCCTCCCTGTGGAGGTAGCTTGAGCAGGGTCGCAAGCCTGGTCCTCCCTTAGATGCTGGCTGGCTGCCCCAATGCCTCCCTCCTCTCTGAGAGCCCCGCCCAACCAGAATCTGCATCTGAGGTCCTGTGTGTTTCTACATAAGCAGATTCCAGACGCAGTAGGACCACATCCATGATGCCCACAACTATAGTTGTTTCTGCACATACAAATGGCAGCCTGTGAGCATCAACCCAAGCCTAAGCCTCCGGAAGTGTAGTCCACTACTGTCCACTCCCTTCCACAGTGATCACAGCCACACCCACGGAGCACCCAGCCCGGTGATGTGGGTTGTCCCTGTGCTCTGCATCCCGCAGCTGTGGCATGGGTCAGGCATCCCACAGCTGCAGGACCTTCCATTGCCAGGGCCACAGCCTGTCATTGAGAAAACCTTGAACTGCTGAGATCGCTTGTCTCCACTGCCCAGGGTCTCCCCTCCTTTCCTAAAGCTCCTGCCAGAGTGTCTCTGTCCACCCTTCCCACAACCAGGAGGAGACCATTATTCCTGCTGTCCTCCTACCTTACAGGAAGGTGTGGCTGGCCCTGAGATGGTCCAGTGACCTCTTCCTTCGGAAGGGACCCAGAAGATTATACATATTAGGGTGTGGACATCACACATGAGAATATTCAGTGTTCACAACGCTCAACCTCAATCGGCTCGTCCATCAAAAATAAAACTGAGAGCCACCCTGCCTGTCCCCACTGGGCCCCAGGGGCACCAATCAGAAAGGGGCACAGAAAGTGGCTTTAGAAACACTAATGTTAATTATTTATAGAGTTGTAACCTTGTGTGCTAAGTCACATATACAGAAAATTAAAAATACCAACCATGTGCCTGCTGCCAAAAGGGGAATGAGGAGAGGACAGAGATGTTCAGTCCATCTGAGATCTTGATGATTTCCTTGGGGAGGGGCCATCTGAGATGTGCCTGAACCAGAGATTAGAGTTTGGGTGGCAACGGGATTTGGTTAGGGTTGGGTTTGGACTGAGTTTAAGAGTTGGAGTTGGGGTGGGATTTGGGGTTAGACTAGGGTTAAAGATTGAAGTTGAGGTTGGATTGGAGTTACAGTTGGGATTTTGGTTGGGTTAGGATTGGAGGTGGGATTATTAGGGTTGGTGTTGGGCTAGAAATGGTGTTGTGGATTGGTGTTGGAGTTAGTGCAGGGTTTAATAGGCTTAGGACTGTTGTTGTGGCTAGGGCTAAGCTTCCATCTAAGGTACCATCATGGTTGACACTGGCTCCAACCTGCTGAGCCTCCCATTCCCAGACTCCCAGGCTGCCTGGCTCTGTAACAAAGGTTCTTATCAAGGATAGTGGAGCCCACATTGCTGTAGGAGGCTCTTTCATCTGGAACAGGTCAGTTACCCTCTGTTGAGATTCGGTACTTACACTCCATCCTGTACCTATACATGTCTCTTCTGGGGCCCAGGCCTTCACAGTGGTGATGGCAGGATGTGGCATCTGTGTGTGGTGTGAGAACAGAGATGGTAGGAGGTGATTGAAGTGCCTGTGTGTTTCCCATATGAGGCAAGATGCACCCAGCTGGCATGTGTGCATTTATATGCAACACTTTATGTTAAATACCGGTGTGTATTGGTGGTGTGCATTAGTATACACATGCTGTGCATGTTTGTATGTGGTGTAGTCAGAGTTTCCTTTGGGCCATCAGCTCACAAATAATGACACAGAAACTTCTTATTAATTATGAAAGCTTGGTCTTAGGTTTATTCTCAACTAGCTCTTATAGCTTAAATTAACCCATTTATATTAACCTATGTTCTGCCACATGCCATTACCTTTCTCTATAGTGCCCATCCTGCTTCCTCTGCATCTGGCTGGTGACTCTACCTTTCTCTGCCTGAAAGTCCCATCTGTACCTCCTGCCTAACTATTGGCCATTCGGCTTTTTATTACACCAGTCACAGCAATACATATCCACACAAAGATCCCACAATAGGTGAGTACAGGACACATGTGTTTATGGTATTCATAATAGTGCATATGTATGGCTGGTGTTCATGTGTTACAACATGTACATCACTCAAATACTACATAAGCACATACACCCTTATGATACCAAACCATACATGGGTGCATCAGAAACACTACACAGAGTTCATAGGTGTTTAACACATACCAAATGCACATATGACATGCATACATGTTTTCCACATGCACAGACACCATGTGAAAGCAAAACA